GAAAAGAAGGCTTTCTCCTGCATAGAGGAACGTCTTTGGTATCACAAGCCATGTGGGTATTAGGTAGGAGAGGGGTAGCACAGCCATGGGGTCGGGCAAGATCTGGCCAAGGCAATAATGTAGAGAGGGGAGAGGCGGGGAGATGGGGGCCAGGGAGGTGATGTGATTTGGGGATGCTCTAACCTGCTCTTTTGGGTTGCTCAGCCTGCAGGATGGAGGGATTGGCACGATCTCTGTGGTGCCCCTGGGTGCTGCTCGTGTGAGTGGGGCTGAGGCATGAATGTGGAAGCTCCTTCCAATCCAGGCTCAGCACCGTGGGGATTTTGACCCTGGGCAAGTTTGGTCCAACTCAAAAGGAACTGTTTCCCTTGAGTCGCCTTGTGCAGACCCTGTTTTGGTGGAGCAACCCCGTTCAGGAGAACACTTAAGCATGCGCTTGTGCTTGACTTTGATTTGAAGCTTTTGAGACTGCGTGCCTGCATAGGGACATTGCCTGAATTGGGGTTTGCTCCCAGCCTGCTGGGAAAGGGCCTCTCAGCTCCACAGCTCTGCAATGTCCAGGCCTTAAACAGGCAGGAATAGGAGACTGGCTGTTTCCGGTGTTTGTGCAACACCCAGTCAATCCCACATTCACTCTATGGCCAACGTGAATGAAATTGTTCAGCTCAAACTTTTCTTCTTCTCTAGGGAGGGACATGAGCTGCCCCGATCACGTCTGACCTCTGTGTTGATTTGCTGCTTTTTCAGTTGGAATATCTTCACTTAGAAAGACAGAGAAAGAAAAGAAAAAGGAGCCAAGTAGGTACAATTCAACCCAAAATTTCCCTAAAATAGACATTCTGGAGTTTTCATAGACGAGCAGCTTCTCCTTGCGGGGGCTGCTTCTGTTACCTTTTTAAAACAAACAAAATTCTTCATTTTATTTGGAACAAAATATTTCATTCAGTGCAAAATGGTGATTTTTTTTTTAAAGCTTTTTGTGAACTGAAACAGTTTGAGCTGAATCAATCTCAGACCAGTAACGTGACCAAACTGGGAACTCTGGGACTTTACTGGTTGCATTTGCTATTTTTTGTCGAGTCCTGTATGACTGAAAGGTGCTTGCTGACTCCTGCCTCCAAGGTAGGGGGTAAAGGGTGCAATGAGGCTTTCACAGCCTCAACTGTCGGAGCAGATATTTTAGCCCATGAGGCCGAGCTCTGCTCCTCACCTCCAAAAACTGCTCGATGAAGACAGCGGTACAGAAGACACTTTCAGCTGTGTTGTGGGACTCCCCTCTGCAGTAGACTCGTCTTGATGCTGCTGTGAGACCACTTCCCAGCACGACTGCGGAGTTGGGGAGCAGAAGAGACCCAGCTGCACCCCTCTTGCCCAATGGGCCAAAAATGCCCCATCAGGAACTTTAAAGAATTTCCTGCTCAAACGTTTCATTGCTCCAGACCATTCACTAAAAGAGGGCTTTGGAGAAAGCTGACAGTGAGACTTTGTGCTGGTCAGATGCCACGGTGTGGGCAGCAGCTCAGCAGGGTCCTCACCTGCTGTGTCTGCCTTTGCCTTTCCAGAAATGCCACAAATTCTGTCTGTGCTCACTAAACGGGAAACAAAGGCCCAAGTCTGAGCTGAGTGAGGAAGAAATATCCAGCAATGAACTATAGGCTTTCATCTCTTTGGCTTTTGAATGGTCCCAGAACTGAGCTCGGCTTGTGAAGGACATGGGGCAAACCCCTTCCACATTCCTACATTGATGCTCTGCGAGAAGGGCCAAAATCATGGATCAAGACACAAGTTCAATGCTCCTGGGGAAAAGCTAGGCAGGAGAAAGGGGTTGGATGCAGGGACTTTGAAGACCAGGCCAGGTTTGATGGCATGGGGAGATCCGAGAGGAGGAACACACAGGGGAAATAATGCACATTTCCTGCAATGGGATGAAAGGGAAGGATGCTTTCTATTATTTTAGGACAAGTTTTTTTTTTTTCCTCCATCCCAACACCCAAAGACTACAAGAGTTGCCAGAATCCATCTGTTTGGAGAGCTGAGGTAATGGTGAGTCTTTAGGACAAAAGCAGAGGAGCAAAGAAATGGCCACACACCTTTGGTACAAGAAAAAGGCACTCATCTACCATGCTACCATCTCGGGGTCACTTGCTCGCCTTCTCTCTCGCGCTCGCTCTCTGGGGACTCAAAAGGGCTGCAAGGAGGGATCCGGAGGGGTGGATGGTGGGTGGCCCCAGACGGGGCAGGGAGGTCTTAGCTGACCATCCCAAGGGTAGCAGGGAAAGTGGTGGTTCCAGCACAGACCAGACAAGGCAACAAAATCTTTGGTATCAGACGTGATTTTCAAATCACAAAAATTGAAAACTCAAGTGAGGTAGCCTTTATTCTCGGGTTCTCACTAGAAATGTCTTTGCATCCTTGAGGGCCTGTGGCATTTATACTTTTTTTTTCCTTTCCTTTTCTTTTCTTTTCTTTTCTTTTCTTTTCTTTTCTTTTCTTTTCTTTTCTTTTCTTTTTTTTTCCTTTTTTTCTGTGTGTTTTTCACTTCCCAAACCAAGGCCCCCTTCCTGGCTTTTCAGCCCTTGAATACTACTTGATGGGGTTCAGGGATCCACCACCATCGTCACCACGTCACAACAAGACAAGAAGAAACAACGTTAGGGGAAAATCAGTGGCAGGGAGCGGGGTCCTAGGGAATGAGATTTGCTTTGCCGTTAGTTTTTTTGGTTGTGGTTGGCAAAATACGCTGTGGCCCCTGCCATTTCCCGGTCCTTCCTTCTCTCCACCTCTCTCTCCCACCCTCCCGCCCTCTCTTTCTAGCAGGAAATTGTTTCGGTTTGGTGTGACTGTGTCAAGTCTGGCACCCCCCCACCCCCACCCAGCCCCTCCATCTCCCACTTTCCCCATGAGCTCTTTGGTAAAACTGTCTGAAAGACATCCCCTAACCTTGCTGGTGATTGCAACAGGTTAGGGCTGCATCTGCAGGGATCTTTCTTTCTCTCTTTCATTCTGTCCTTCCTCTTTTTGGGGGGATTTTTTTTTTTTGGTGTACGTACACACATTTTTTTTCCTTCTTTCCTTCTTTTCAACAAGGTGCCTTCCTGTTACACAACAGATCGCTTTCAAAGTAAAGTGAATCAAAGAAACCATAGCGCTAGAACACAGATGGTACTATTTTACCCGCATAAATTCAATATTGTCCCTTTTTTGTGTGTTTGTTTTTGGAGGATTTTTTTTTTTCCCCAAGTGGTGGGGGAAGCAGGGGACCTTGCCTTCCCCTCCATCCCCAAGTCTCTCCCAGCCTCTTCCGGTCCCCGTGGCATCTTCTTCTCCCCCCCAAGGAGGCCCGGAGTTTGGCAAGGTGCCTGCGAGGGCGGCTGCGTCCGTGGCTGGGGCAACGGCTGATTGTAATTGTTTGGCCTTGTGATTGCTTTTTATATGGCACAAGTCACCATCGAGAGCTCGGAGGAAACAATCATTTTGAAGCTAGTACCATTGCTCCAGAATTTCGCGTTTAAGGCAGGTTGTTAATTGGCACAAAAAAAAAAAATCTGTTGTCTTTTTGTAAGTTGCCGGTCTTTTCATTGAGCTTGTTTGGTAGATTTTTTTCTCCTTTATATTATTATTCCTTTTTGGTTTATTTTTCCCTTTCTCACACACAGGGCTTGATTTTGCAACCAGATCCGTGAGATTTGCTTCTTCCACCGTGCACCAACATTGCTTCCCCGGAGGGATTTTTGTTGTTTGGTTTTTGGTTTTTCAATTTCTTTGGTAGCAGAGATGAGGACAAAGGGCAGGGGACAACAGTGTGTGTGTCGAGGGGCAGATGGGGCAAGACACAAAGCCAACAAAACAGTGCTGTGTCTGAGTTCATTCCTCAACTGAAAAGTGAACCAGAAACCAAGCGGCGAATATGGTGGAGCCAGCCTGGCCCCCACTGAGCCAGTCACCAGGAAAGATCAGATCCTTCACTCGAAGTCTCTCCTCCCATCTCCTTTCAAACAATTCCTATTTAAATACCCGATTTCTGTACCTAAAATGTGCTTCTTGACCTGCTTGGGCTCTAGGCAACACAGTGCAAGCTGCAGTCCCCTGCCTCTGGCTGCTGGGCTGCAGTGTGGCACTCAGAGAAGCTTGGGTGTGCAGCGGCGGTGGCGGGTGGCCACAGCAACGCGGTGCCTCCGCCATCTCCTTTGCCATGGAGTTTGTCTGGGAGGGACCCAGGGGACAGGTGCTCTCATAGGTTGGGGTGTGCATGTGCATGGGGACTCGGGGCCAGCAGGTGGTGGGTGCTCTTGGGGGCGTTGCAGGGTGGGTGAGAGGAAGGTGACTGTGGAGGAGACCGAAGCACCCGGGAGTGCAGGGAAGCCTTTGAGCAGGTTTCCCAAAGCTTCGAGTGGGAGAGAGGGCCTGGCTGCTTTGGGACACCCTGCTGCACCTTAGCTTGTAGAAAGCTTCAAGAACCAGAGACTGCAGCCATGGAGAGTTTTCCCTGCTTGTCTCTCCTTAAATCATATGGGTTTTGGCCCCAGTTTGTTGGGGTTGTGCTGCTGCCTGGCCCCATGGCTCCACCTCTTGTATCTCACCCACCTCCACCACAGTGGCCCTGGTGGGCACCTTGAGGTTGGGAGGACTGGAGGGGATGAGGTGCCCCTCTCCTCGAGGGTTGGACCCTGGTGGGTGGGTGAAGACAAGGTTTTGTGGCAAGGATGCTTCAAAAACAGCACCTTGCCCTCTCCCTCCATGTCATCTTTCACTCCACTGGGGGTTTCCTCCCAGCCTTCCTGCTGGAGAGAAACTGAACCAGTTGCAAACCCTTCCCCTCCTCCATGAGCTTGGAGGATACAGCAGCAGGACGTGACAGAGGGTTTGGGAGGCCAACGGACTTGCAGTGCCCAAGAGTACCCACCCCAGTCAGCTCAGCCGCTGGGGGTATGCGTGTAAGTTTGGGGTTGGCTTTGTCATGAGGAGGATGTCTGGGAAAGGGCAGGGAGGGCTGGGGGACATCATGCTTTGGAGAAAGTGCTTGTAGAAGAAGAAGGGACTCCAGGGTTGGTGCCTGGCTCCTCCTGCCAGCGGTTCATACACCGCCGGCGGGCATTCATGAAGAAGTTGCTGACGGTGTTGAGCTCCAAGCCGAGTTGCTGTGAGATGGTCATCTGCATTTCTTTGGATGGGCGCTTGTTCTCCTTGAAGATGGCAATCAGGGTGCGGCGCTGGAGGTCCGTGAAGACCAGCCGCTGCTTCTTGGGCTGCAGGCTCCTGTCTTTCTGCTGCTCTTGCTCTTTGCGTTTGCAAGCTAGATGTTCAAAAGAGAGAATAGGGCCATTAATTGGCGCTGACCAACCTGGCCTGCTTCTAGATTGCCTGGCTGCCTCCCCAAACCAGGCCCTTCCCTCTAGTAAAGCTGCCAGCTTTTTGCCCACCTCTCCCTTGGCTACCTTCCTCCTCTTCTACCCTTTGCCTCCTGGGCTTCTGCTGAGATGGGACAACAGCCCTTTTCAACTTAAGTCTGAGAAAAGCTCAGGTGAAACCTAGCATCCTTGGGAAAAGCTGAAGTCTCAGAATCTCCTGCTAACCCTGGAACTAGAGGCAGATGAAACTTCTGGCCTGCCCCTGCTCTCACTGCCTGGTTACTGGGACCTGCTCTATTGCTAAATCTTGGGGGTCGTCCATGAGCCTCCCTCCCTCCCTCGCACTCTGGCATGGGCTCCATTGCCTCTTCCTCGTGTCTGCTGATCTTGCTGGAGGACTCAGGGAACCAGTGTCTCTTGGCCATTGCATCCAGCTGCCAACTCCAAACCGGCAGGGAATGCTGGGGATGGGGATGGTATGACACATCTAGTCTGCAGCGAACACATCTCATGACAGAAAGAGGGGAACAAGCATCCTTGTTTCAGCCTGATCAGGAAAGGGGTTTTCCTGTCTCCTGAGGCTGAAGAACAGCCTCAGTGGTCTGAAACTCCAGGAAATTCAGGCTTCCCTACATGCCTTTGCTATCGTAGCCTTCGAAACATGTGTCAGGTTGAACCAGTACCTAATTATAATCTTCCCTACTGATTTGGTTTGAGCAGTGGGTCAGGACAGAGGTGCTGTCTGCTTTGAGTGACAAATGTAAACTGGGTGTGGGGAACCGGGAAAGCCCCTGTGACGTCTCTATGCTGTGTGTAAAAAATGGAAGGACATGGCTAAACAGAATTTTGTAAATATATGAATTTTAATTGCAGGAATATCAAGCTCTGTTGGTGGAAGCGGTGGGAACAGGGGTCCTTTTCTACAATATTTTCCTGGAAAGTTAAAGACTCATAGAATAATTGAGATTCATACAGTTTGCTGGTCTAGCACCTACTTGAAGCAGGGCCAATCTCAAAGCTACATTGAACTTCAAGGTGAGATCACGGTGCTCAGGGTCTTGTCTGGGTCAGGACTTGGCTGGATATGCATGGGCACTGCTGGAGCACAAGGTGCCCATGGACAGGTCAGAGCACGGATCCAGCTCTCCAAGGCTGGGGACACACCATTTCCTCCAGAGAGCTCAGAAAAAAAGTCAGGATATTGCAGTCTAAACCTTTCTAAGGAGAGCCCACTCTTGCCCCAAACAGAGAAGCAGTTTTCAACCCTTTAGGGTTTTCGGTTTGGATCTTCGGAACGATTTTGCAGCAAGGGTGTAGGTCCTTTGTTTGCTCTCCACAGGCTGCCAGATGACAGATGGCAACTTGCTTCTCTTAGGCACTTCCAGGAGCCTCTTACATTTGGTGCACAGCCCTCCAAGAGCCCAGAGGTCAAGGCTGAAAGCCGCTGCCACAGTGATGGGATGGCTGCTTGGGTCCCTGGGCCGATGATTGTTCCCCTCTGGCTAACTACCTTTCCTGCTATACAAACACACCTCTTATTTCCAGGTTCAGCAAAACAGCAGGCAGCCATTATAGCCTTTTCTGAATCTGGAAAAGGAGGAGTAAGGGGCGTGTGTTTAAAATGCAAATTACTTCTTCCTAATTAGAGAAAAAGCAAGGTATTTTCTTCACTTTTTCTTAAGCTCACCTGCACTACCGTTCCTCTTTACACCATAGGCACCTTGAACTAAGAGTGAAGGACAATATCCACCACTTCCACCCAAAGCTGGAGAGATCTAGAGCTCAGTGTTGCATTTTTGACAGGTAATTCATCCAACAAATTTAACCCTTTTTCCCTGGCTGCTGGTCACTGTCCTGGCCTCATTCCAGTTTGGGCTGCAGAAGTCATTTGCTCTGTTCCTGCTTGGCTCAGTGCATGGGGTAGGGGACAGAAGATAGCAGGACTGGCATGACCAAAACATTAAAATTAAATCAGTTATCCCTGATAAAGATGGTTAGAGGAAATCCTTCTCCCCCTCCCCTTTCTCCCCCCCCACAGGTTTTGCAAAAGGCCCTGAGTTCAGAGGCTGGAAACCATCATTCTAACGGATAAGGGACAGTTTCAGCCCTGGTGGTGTTGGGGGAGCCTGTTCCAGGGGTACCTTACTCAAACAGCCAGGAGAGAATGGTTTAGTGGAAACCTACCCTATGACCATCAGATGCTTGCAAAAAGAACAAACAAAAAAAGCCTTTATAGAAAATTTGACTTTTTTCCACACATGAATTAAAAGAACCCCCCAAACATACCCCCAAAACCCAACCAACAAGCAGAAAAAGTCCCTCCCCCTTGTGATGTGCACATTCAGAGCAGCACATATTCACCCTGATGAACCCCTCACCCACTCTCACACCCCCTCCTGGCATCTGCCTGGCATGCTCAGTCTGTCCCATACTAGCTTTGCTGGCAGGACCTTGTGCTGCCAGCGGGCACCTCACATCCGTCCCACGAGCACAGCTGGGCCACAGCACTCCAGTCAGGCAGGCAGGGGGCTGCAACCCCTGCACAGCCTGCAGCCCCTCTCTGACCAGCCTGGCTCCCCTTATATGGCCTGGGAATGTGTTGGCCTGGCTCTAGGTTAACTTAGGGAGGGGGAGAGACATCTCATCTACCTATAACAACCTAAAAGTGAGTGCCTAGTTTAAGGTAGACACTGCATTTTCCTCTAGTCATCTAATGAGAGATGCAAGCGGTCCACTCCTGGCACGTGGCAGGTGCCCGCACCTGGGGGCAGCATGTGCTGGACCCAGCTTTGGCTCTGCACTGGGGACCCGCTGCCCCATGGCATCACCAGAGGCACCTCCTGCCATCCCTGCCCCATCTTCCACGTGTGGAGGAGCTCAGCCCCAGCTCAATGTGCAGCTAACCTGCTTGGGACTCCCAGAGGATCCAATAGAAACCATCTCTGTATCTCTATACTTGATACATATCATGCATATATAACTGTCCATATGTATGTAAATATGTGCAAAAATAGCTATATCTATCTCCCCACGGGAAATGTCAAGTGATGTGTTAGTGCAGGCATCCTTTGCAACATGTGCTAACCCAGTTATAACCACAGTAAAGCCACCGGGATCCAGGTTGTCCTCCTTCACTCTCATGTATCAGCACCTGGTCCCATCAGCGGTATCAGGTAGCCAACCTGTGAGCCAGCATTTCAAGTTTTCAAACACACATTTTTTTCCCCACTCAATTATTAGGAGTAATTATTACTAACCAGTCGCCCACTAATAACTGACAGCTCTGAGGCAAAACCTAGCAATCATGGTGTTGCTGGTAAAACTGTGACCCAGCATTAATGCCAGCACTAAGCATTGCTGAGACAGAGATAATTTGAAAAGGGAGGTTTGGAGTGGTGAGGGCTACACACCCCGCTGCAAGAGTGGGGATGCAGCAGAGTGGCTGCAGGGCTCCAGGCTGAGGAATCTGGGTTTTCCTCCAGTTTGACCTGCTTGGGTAGGATGTGATTTTCTGGGACAAGAAACGGGGTTCTGTAGATGAATGGGTCCATCTGGGAGAAAAGGGCCATAAGGGCTCCCACAGCATCCTCTCTCCAAACCGACAGGGTGCACAGAACTGAGCAGCACACGGCCTGGTGGGGGGACTCTGACACCCTGCTCTGCACCCTGCACAACCTCCTACTTATTTTTGGCCAGTGGCATGGAACTGTGGGCAGCAACACCAGAGGTGGATGGGTCCCACATTTCCTGTGCTTGTTTGTTTATTTATTAATTTATTTTTCTGCTGACGCAGCCCAACACCCCTCTTCCCAGTTCAATCTAATTACAGCTCCACACAACAGAAATCAATAGTGATGCTAGTCAGATCTATTTACAGTGGCCATCAACCCCCTGGCAGAGGCTCTTTTCTATTCCTCATCCCCTGGCCATTGCTTTCCTGGGGGGGGGGGGCACAGCTTTGACTCTCACCCCGGCTGTCATGGGGGAGGTTTTCCTCTGTGCTTCAAAATCCCTTTTTCAAGGCCCAGACTATGAACGACTCATTCTTCGCTTGATGCTTTTCTTCACCTCCCTCCCTCTGGAGCTCTCTGGGCTTGTCTCCTCTCCCTGGGGACTAGGACATGCTTCGGGGGCGCTTCTACCTCTTCCCCTGAGTTATTTCCCCAGCTAACACCCAAAGTACAGGGTTTATTCCCTGACTTGTCCTGCTCCCTGGCTCTCCTGTGGCGCAGGGGACCCTGACAGTACCTGGACCAAGGCTGGGGGAGAAGGACTGGTGTTCTCCATAGCCTCAGGGCATAGACTGTGTGGATACTCTGATGTCTAGTAAGGGCTTGAGCTCACACATCCCCCCATGGAGATCTCTCTCTTCTCTCCTTCTCTCTCCCCAGCCACTTTGACAAAACGTGCACTTCTGAGACCTCAACAGCGCAACCAGCGCAACCAGGTTTGGCTGCGATCGGCCAACAAGTGCAGAAGTTGCAAGGAAGGACTGGCAGACATGCATTTGCACAGGGCAGTTGCATAGACCCCACTTCTTCCGCACACCAGGCACACAGCCCTAGTGTGTCCTCATCACCAAGATAGCTGATCTGGCTGCAGATAAACCTCAGGGAGCAGCGCCAAAGGAAGGACCTTAGAAGGCAAACTGTGAGGAAGACCTCTGAAAGCAAAGGCATCCTGCCTGCTTCCCCCAGAGGAGCTTCTGCTCAGGCTTTCTACCTCCCTGGAGACTTATGTCAGAGGGACAGCGTTTTCCTTGACTTAACCTTGACAGCTCAAAGCAAAATATCTCCCAAATCATTTCTAAAGGGACATAATAGAGACAATCAAACGGCTGCTGTTCAGAAGCTGCGATTATGCCTCGCAGCGTGAACTCCGTGAAGCATTTAACTAATACCTGATGGCTTTGCAGGCTTCCGCAGCCTGCCAGACAGTGGTTTCT